TAATCACCACCATCATCATGATTCATTAATGCCATCTCCATGTCATGGGCTCACCATTAACACCATCATTTTATCACATCCGACAGGCAAACTATAATATCCTCTGGAAAGAACAGTTAGAATCATATATAAAGAAGAACGGTTTCAGATTAATTGCCAATCAGCAAGAATTGGGAAACGATTTTATGATATTCTTTACTTGATTATTTACTAAGGTGTAATTAATTTCAGAGGACAGCGATTGAACGTAAATAAAGCTCTAGACATGACAAACTATATGATAAAAGAGAACGATTACCTCCCATGGAAATGTGTACAAAAAAACATTGGATACATTCAAAGTATACTTCCACCTCATAGTCACACGTATCATCACTTAAAGGTCAGTACCTAAATCAAAATATATTTATTTAAAGAATAAGTAACGCGCGGTCATGTCTCTGTATTGTGATGTTAACACGCTGGGAGCTGTAGAGCACGAGAGAAGCAAGCTTAGGAACACGAGGAGTATTCGGTCCAGTGTTTCTCTTGCTTGATGTCACATTACACGGACATAAGCAGCGGTTTTATGATATTGTTTTTATAAGATATTTTTAAACAGTTTTGCCTAAACGTGTCGCTGTCGACCTCTGCGCGCGTTATGTCTTAAGTATTGCATCCAGCCAATGAACACGCGCCCATGCGCCCGAGCGCGTTATATTTTATATGTTTTAAAAGTGGAACTATAAACCATTCTTGAATACAGGTCCAAAGATTTTGATGTTTTTCTTCAGCAGTTAAACGTGAAAAAAAACAACACTACCTTCCAAGTAATATGGTGGTGATAACTTGTGGGACCTGTTTGATACTAAAACGAACGAACAACTTGTAAATCAGCTCAAAGGAATTGACTAAAAAAATATTTGAAAGGGATTCTGGTATGCATTAGTTGTATTAAGACGTCAAAATGACGATTTGTCTGTTAACATTTAATCTACCTTTGATTTGTTCGTACAGCGGTATATGGCTTTCCAAAGTGAGAAGTTATTCAATGATCTTGGAGTTCAAGATTCTGGGGAACATCTTGACAAGTAAGAACAAGTTTTATAGATCTCAGTAATTAAAGAACGCCTTAATGAAAAAAGTAGAAAGGAACGCTTTTAACAATTAATTGTGCTCAATGAATTTGTTTCTTAGACTAAAAAGGCTCATTGTAACTGGATTCCAATGTGACTTGGGCACCAAGAAATGTCTGGGAAACCTGACAAGGATGTTTAATGAATGGAAGAAAGATCCTTTAACAACAAGGTAAAATAAACTTTTTGCAATAACTTACAAATTTCTCGCGCGGTAATTGGTTATTTTTTATCATCAATAAGAGGACAGACAGATAAAACTGATGTCAACGAGCGCGCGCTCTTTCCGTTGGTTGTTTTGATCACTAAAAAGTTTTTATCGTTTTTTTTATTGTAAAAAAACAAATACACATCGGTTTTTTAAGTGTATGTCCTCTTATTGACAATAAATTTCGTCATCACATTGTCAAAGTAGTATGCGCACTACTTTGACAATGTGATGACGCAATTTATCGTCAATAAGAGGACATACACATAAAAAGCAGATTTGTATTTGTTAAGTGTGCTGAATGTCATGTGAACTACTCTGGACAAGCTTGAAAAGTCAGTTAATTCATTGGATGATTGATTGATTGGTTGGTTCAGGCTGGTTGGTTGGTGATTAGTGAGTGATTAATGATTGTTGCCAGTGGTAGGTAATTGTTGGTGGGTTGGTGGGATGGTGGGTTGGTGGGTTGGCGGAAAGCTTGAATCTTTAATAAATAATTCCATTCTTTGTATTAACCGTGCTTTGCCTCGACTAACTTCGTTAAATATATTTTCCAGCGTAACCCCAGCTCTTCGTAAACTTGTGTACTACTATGGCGTCAATCAAGGAATTCCAGAAGACTGGGAACGAGTACTGCAGGAGTTAATGAAGACGAGCGTACCATCAGAAATACAACCACTTCTCATGGGACTGGCAGGATCACGTGATACCTGGACCCTTTATAAGTAAGATCATACTTGTTGCATTATTTTATTGTATCCACCGTATTTTACCACGTTTCGTACATCGATTCACTGATCAAATACAAAGCGTTCAATCGATACTGCAATGTTCAATTTGAATAACCCGTTCAAACCACCTTGTATCCTCGACTGAATGCTTTGTGTGTGACCATTAACCGATTTATGGAAAGTGGTGAATGCTGATGTATATCAATCTTTTTTATTTCTGATATAGATACATGAAAATGGCGGGAAACCAGACAATAGTGAAGAGACAGTATGCTAAATACGTGTTACATTATGTAGCCAACCATAACCCTGATGGACCTGATGTAGCCTGGACGTTCCTCCAGCTCAACTGGCAAGACATCAAACAAAAGTAAGGATTTACGCAAACATGAAAGATAATAAAGGAAAGAATGGACAGACAGACAGAAGGCAGGCAGGCAGTACGCTGCCCTTGGCAGAAACGAATAGGTTCAGGGCTGAGTATCTTTAATTAAATAAGGAAGAAAACAGAAATGAAACTTTTAAATCTATTGATGTTCACCGTTAATTATAAAACATTAAAAAAAGCTTGGTAATAAAAACAGCAGTTTTGGTTGAAGAATTGTTCATTTCACGAAGTCACGAAGTAAGTTGTGCCAAACTCCCACTCGTTTCTGTCAAGGATTGTCGAGAGTGAAGAGTGATCGGTATGGAATATTTTCATGATTTGTTCTAACGAGGCTTGTGACAGTTGTGGAGTAGAAACAGCTACATTAAGTAGAAGAATGACAATGAAAAAAAAATTTTAACCACATTTACCATAATTACACCGTTATTGTCTCACAGCGGTGGCCCCATACAAGCGATGATGACGTATATACCAACAATCACAAGAAGACTCTCTACTTCTTATCAACTAGAGCAGGTAAAGATTGACTTGATAGCCATGTTTGTTGTCGGTCCTTTGGAAATAAGATCCTAAAGGAATGAGTAAATATGTAAATAATATCAGCACAGAAGAAAATATATACACCGAAAAAATTGCAGACAGAAGTTCGGTAAGATTCTACATCGTTGTAACGCCAAATGGATTGCAATCACTTCGCCCATAGTGCATTTCGGGCTTGGTAAGCATCATCTTCACCACCATTTTTGATTTATTTCCTCTTTCGTCATAGTTTAATAATACGGCAACAGGTGCCATCAGGTGTCATGCGCCGCTATACGGCAATGTGTCGCACCGCTGTCGGTACGAAATAAGAAGCCTGGGGACGTGGGTTTGATTCTAGCCTTGACTGAGCAGGATATGTGAGATGAGTTTGTTTGATGTGTTGTTCTCTCCCTACTCTTCTCTTCCGGGTTCTCCGGCTTTTTGGTTGAGTGTTATAGTTCGTAAATGTATGTGATGGGTGGGAGTGATGGGTGCAAAAAATCAGCTTAAATTACTGAAGTTTGATAAACTCTTTCTATATTCTTACAGCTTACAAATTTCATCAATAAGAACCTGAATAGGGAAGCGATGCCAAGAGGACTTCGAAAGGCTGTAGAGATCGTAAAGTTGAATATCGCCTGGCGAGCCGCTCATGAACCCGATCTGGAGAGATGGCTGAAGAACTTCTTAGCAAAACAAAATCTACCCGTCCAAAAATTCCGGCCATTTGATGGGTTTTCTGAACCAGCGTGAAAACGTACTTCTCAAGTCAATAGTCCTCTTTATCTTGGGCGTAATGCATGTTTTACCGGGCCCATTTCAGACCATGTGCCCTCCCCTTGAGTATCATTAATATTTTTTTTAAATTTAAACATATAAATTCTTTAAGTTTGCTCCAAGAGCTCTCATTCGAGCTCATCTAGGGAGTGCACTTGACGCAAATGAAATAAAGAATCCTATAGAGATTTTGAACCACCGCGTGACGGCAGCCATGTTAGATGGCAGGAACAATACAATCGTTTTACATGAGAAAGAATAAATTCCAAAGAGCAAAGGGATTTTATTGTTCTGGCAACTAACCACAGGCAGCCCAAGCTGTAGTTTGAGCGTTGGCACTTGCAAAACCTCTATAGAGACGTCTCTTGTATAGAAAAAACGACTTCCGGGTTCCAAACGAAAAGCAGTCCTATGAAGATTTTTCTTACTTTTTCTCCATGACAGGATCTTTCGTCCAAAGTTCTCATAGTTTCAGGTGAAGGTTGAATCATTGAGAACATTTTTCTTGACAGCTAGGTTTTGCGAGCAGTTGGACCCGGAAATACGTCACAACTTAAAAGTTCTATCCCAAAAGGAATGCAACGGGGTCTGAAATAGGCAAAACATTATTGCGCCCAAGGTAAAATTATATTGTCTGAAATATACTGTTTTCACGCCGTTTTGAGCACTGGCACAAAATTCTATGTTAAAATATAATGTCACCAAAGCTCTTGATGAAATTCCGTTTTGAAACATCAAAACATGTATCAATTGTACGTTTGCTGCCATTTTTGCTATTTAAAGAATCTAAATTTGTAGGCGGCAATGGCTCAAATATTCAGTGATATCGCTGGATTTTGAATTTCTCTGAGTCAGTCAAACAGGCTGGCAGATCGACAACCCAGTGTTAGTACAGCTCCTGATATTGGGCTAGAGTACACACCATATATCCGTAAAAAACATTTCAAGAAATTACACAATTAAGTAAGTTCAGTAGACCTCAGTAGACCGTAGACCTACAAAACTTTGCACTAAGGTGTACAATATTTTAGTTAACTTTTTCACGGATATACACTTATTTCAATAAAGTTAGTCACCAAAAACCTAGAAAGCTGAGATCACTGAGCATCATGGGAAACTTTTCATATCAAAAAAGCATATATATACAAAGCTTTTTTAATACAAACTGCAGCTCATGATGCTCAGAAGAGGTGAGACTGTAACCGGTAAAAGATTCGCAAGTCCATGCACAGTTATCAAGCGGTTGAATGTGTAAAATGAATTTACCAATAATCCTTGTCGGCCTCAGCTTTATAGCTTTTCAGGTGACTAACGTTATTGAAATAAGTGTATGGTGTGAACTATACTAGTAATTGCCAATATGCCATCTATACAAAAGACCTGGTCTTTTGGGTATCCATTTCAAATCACGTGTCATTCCATTCCGAATAAAAGAGTTAAGATAGTACGCGCGCGCTGATTGGTCGAAAACTGTGCTATATTAGTGAACGGAGCACAAAAAAAGCTGTTTTTTTCATCAATCATCTCTCTCCTTGTGTGCAACATTTAAGCAAAGAAATGATACTTGAATGACACGTGGTCTAAAACGGGAAAACACCAATGCCCAAGGTAAAGTGGTGTATATAACGGTCAGGTGTTGTCTATTTTAGTTGGTGGGAAATGATGCACGCTATCTACACGACACCGTTGATTATGCAGCAACAGTAAACACTATGCACGCAAAGGCACTTGGGATGCCCTGGCTTCTTTACTCAGCCTATAGTAGAACATGGGAAGTGAGGTGGGGGGAAGGGGAGTAGAGGAGTTGGAATAAGCCACAACAGCCAACCAGATATAACAAAGACTGCATTTTACCTTAGTATTATGCTTTTATTCCCCAGTTACCATAGCAATATCAAATCACCATAGCAACGATTATTCCTCGATGAGTTACGAGATTGTAAAAAAATAAAGTTACAAACATCACTACAGTAGTTTATCAGTTACTAGGCGTCTACTCAAACTTGGAACCACAGGCAACCCGAAATTGTATACTCCCTGCTTTTCCATTAGCATCCGCGCCTGGTAATTCAGTAATTCATTATTATTTTTTAATTATTACAATGGATTTCCTGTGGTTCCATACTATAGATACCAATAATATCCAAGCYGCCTGGTCGACCAAATATTATAACAATGTATCCCCTAAAATTAAACCTTAACTAAAATATGAAGAGTTAGAGTGCAAATAATATACCCGTGAAATAGTTAGGATGAAATAGGAGATAGTTAGCGCTTAATTAGACAAGACATAGGAATTCAGTGAGGCATGACAAGGGCACGGGCGTTTACTAGAGTAACAACTCAATACGAAAATGCCCAATAGATACGAAAATGCGAACATGTCAAATTATACGAAGGAAAAGCATGTATAATATAATATTGTTTCAGTTTTTGTAAGTGTGTTTAAAATGCGCGCCTTTGAGTAGCACACGTGCACTAGTTTACCGTCACGGCTCGCCTATTTTAATTAATTAGACGTAGGCAACCAAAGGTTAGTAATTAGTTAGTTAGCTATCTATTTCACGGGTATATTATTTGCACTCTATTCATCAAATCCATAAGTATCGACTACTATACTCCAATACCATTGGTCAACCTGGTACCAGGCCATTGTGTTGCGCGGACGAGAACGTCAACCCTATACTATACTTGTTTTTGCATTGTGATGAGTTGAATAGTTATAACAGTATGCAAACATTGATTTGAAACAGAAACAAGTTTTACAGGTTTGTTTTTGCGTCCATAATTTGGACAAATATAGGAAACATTTTGAGATTATCACGTGACACAAGACAAAAAACCCGTTCTTGCATAGGATTCCATTAACATTATTTTACATTAGTTTACTTTGCATTAATTTATACAAATAAATATCTTATACATTTTTATCTTCATAAGAGTCTTTGAGAATATTATTGTGAAGATGGAAAAAAAACTGTTATCGACTTTCACATCCCCATAACCCCATAATGCCTTGCGCCTTTGGGGGGTAACCAATCAAAAAACTGTCCCAAATTGAAAGTTTTCTTAATTGAATTTATACTATACCTGCTTTTATCTGTACAATACTGATTATTAGTTTATTCCAAGTTATTTTTGCGTGTACAGATCATCAAGAGTTTTGGTCTTACAGAAAATGTATCAGTTACTTACGAAAAAAAGTTTAAAATTTACCTTAAACGTCTTCAAGCTTCTATCTTTTTCTGTTTTCTACTTCTTCATTTTATCTTTGGATACCAAACAAGGTATTTCCAACACTGTCTGATCAGCCTTCAGCAAAATAAGTGGATTTTTACCCTCTGGTTACCCCCCAAAGACGCAAAGGATTATGGGAATGTGAAAGTCGAAAATGTCGAGTAATCTTGCTAAGACTACTATTGATAATTGACTAAATGTGCAACTATGGTTATGTCACGTGACTTATCCCCAGTCATTTTTAATCGACTCATCAGGTGCTTCTAGAGTCTGACGAGTGACATACGAGGTTTTGTATACCCTTATCATTAAATAATTAATATTTTATTAATGTAGCAATAAGTATTGCTTTATAATTTGGCGCCTGTTTAGCGACGTAAATCCACGATTTACCTCTTTCAAAAAAAGATTGTCGTTGCTGGAGGCGATAGGAGATAGGTAATTCCAAGATCCAAGTATAGCTGGAATAACTCGTTTATTTTATTATTATTCTCATCAAGAACACAGAGGATATGCTGAGATTTCCAGCGTTGTTTGTAATCGACGTTTTAAGTACCATGATTGTTTAATTACACGACCGTATTTCCTTTCCGTCTTGAAATAACCTATCACCTATCGCTTATGGCTCCCAACCGTCAACCTTTATTGTAATAGGTGTATAAGCAATTCGAAATGAAGGAGAGATAGAAAGAAAAGAGAGAGGGATAAAGAGAGTGTTAAAAAAGTTCAGGTAACTGTACTAAGTATAATATTATCTGAGAAATGAAAGACGTATATTATTAGTCCGTCATTCTTATTCCTTTGAAGATATCGCAAAAATAATTTGAATAATTCATTCTTGACAGGGGGAAGTAAATCCATATAAAATTGAAGTAATTTAAGTCGAACGTTAGCGACTCTCTCTTTAGTAAGTTACACGATACTCTTCGCCTTTTTTTTTTTTTTTTTTTCATTTTTCCCATGAAGCCAATTTTTTGGGTTGCCTGTGTCGAAGTTTTTGAAATCACAAGTATGGCAAAAAAATTGAATTTAACAGTTTTTTGACTATCAAAACCTTTTTCAAAATGTAATTATGACCTTATGGTATTTTGAGGTACGTTTGTATGTACTCAAGCAAGAATATCCTTAGGACCGGGAAAGAGAGGGTAAATTAACTTATTACTATTATGGTACACAAGCACGTGACTGTAAGTCGTCTAACATCCAACACAGGTAGCCCAAGCAATGGAAAAAAACAAAGTTGAAAATTATCGTGTCTCTTGCTTTTCTAGATAAAATCGGCTTATGCGAGGCGAACAATAAACGTATGACCAGCTCTGATATTTACAAATTTTAATGAACGAGTTTAGTCCCTGTAAAACAAACGGCTTTTTGTTTTATTTGAACAGAAACGCTCGTGCTTAAAAATGATGTTAAACATCAAAACCGGTCACGCATTACGTTCTAATATAACGAGTAACTTGCTTTATAATAATAAATAGTACGGGGGAAATATAAGGTTAAAAAAAATTCAACGCAAATATCACTGACATTCTTTGAAATGTTTGCCTTTATCACGCGATTTGGCTTGATTATAGACCAAAAGGAGCAGTTTCTCCTTACTTGAAGTCCTATTTATGTTAATTTAATTAGAGGATAAGAAAAACAATTAAACAGAGATGGTCCCGGCTATGAATACCAATATTAGAACTAAACATTTGCTAGGGGAAACAAGTTTGAACATTAAAGGAAAGTTCCTGAGAAAAAGTTAATCCTTTGATCTGGAACATATAACAAGTGCAAAAATATTGGGCAAAGGCCTTAATATTTTTTTGCAGTTTCAATAAAAAGAAAGTTGTTTTGTGAAGAGAGATTTTACATATTGAAGTATCACGTGACTAGGCAAGCATTTCAGGTCCACCAATCAATAAACACTATTCATTCCTACCATATCCTAATTCATTTTCGTTTACCACTTCTCTTGTATCGCGGAAGTACTCCTCGTCATTCTGGAAATCCTCTTGTGATGGATAGTAATAATTACGAGCAAACTGTCTTTCATTACTGTACTCGGGTTCTTCTCGGTAGTCGTTGTGTCCAGGGTACTCCTCTGGTATCAAATCCTCCATGCCAGTCATTCTTTCTTCTAAATCTTCGAATTTCACCTGCTTGGTATGGGCTTTGAACCAATTGATTGCGTCGTGTCTGTTCTGATTGGACCAGTCCACGTTTGCTTGAATGCTCTCTAAGCTCTGTTTGCTGGCACGTACCGCAGATGCCATGTCATGATTATCAAAGAATGCCTTGACCTGAACAAACACATCATTCTTTATTAACAATGTGGTTTGGCGATACATAGACCAAAAGTAGGGCTGGGGATTTTGTCCACGCTAATCCACAGGGACCCCATCAAAATAGACCTTGGATCGAGAACCGTTTAGCCAAGTGGGGCTTTTAAAGTTTCTTAATCGTTTTGACTATTCGTGTCAAAATAAAAAAAACAAAAAACAAAAAAAATTCATCTCATGGAGGATTGAATTTGAGATTGGTGATCCACTCGCCCCAGAACCAAAGAAGCATGAGGCCATTGGCCATTACGAGGTCGAAGAAAAAACTTGGTGGAGTTGGCGGTGCAGTGCAATAAGGTGTTGTTTTATTGGACATATTGACGAGATGACGTCTGTTCCGTCCCCTAAAACAGTCCCAAAATGCACTGCAATATCAACTAGAACCAGTGGAGAAGACTTTAGCCACATCGATTATCTTGTACGAACTTATGGTTTGGAATCACTTAGACCAAAGAACAGTAAGCCCCATACTCTAGTTTCGAGATGGTTGTGTCTAGATGGGATACCGCAGTCCAGGTGATTTCACCGGGGAACAGGAATCCAGGGGGTGGAGGATAGGGTAGGGGGGAGCTCAAAATATTTTTTGCACAGCCAAAAGATGACAGTCATTGCCATCCGGTAATAACAGCGGAGAGGGACAATATATGTAAAGTTCCTTAACCTCCCCTCCCCTCTCACCTATAATACCCACCTTTTTGTACATTTCCTTAGTACTAAAGTGCGATGACGTTCTGAGGATAAGACGGCTGAAATCAAACGAACCAGTGGCATACCTATGGTGACAAAAATAGGAAAAATATTGCGTATGAGTGTGAAAATACTGCTTTGTTTTCAAATAAACTGAATTAATCTCATGAATCTCATAAACAGCCCACAATGACAGGAAACAGATGTACTACATATGTAATCAACAACAACCGCTACTAACGCGCGCTCTGGTTGGCTAAGTAGCGTGCACCATATTCCCAATCGTGCATGCTGACGTCCAACTAGCGTGTATAGAGATTTATTTTCTTAATTTGTGTTTTGTTTCGCACAAAAAATTCAAGAAAATAAACCAGAAAAACCATATACAACCATATTTTAAGGTTAAAACCACATATATTTCACGCCAGAGTGTCACGCAATTCTGTCAGCACGAGTGACAAAATGGCGTCGTGTTAACGTTAAGCGTCATAATAGTCGAAGTTATTTTATCCTTTTCTACTAAAAAAAGGTATTTAAGAAATGGAGAAAAAATCTACTATCTATATTCAAACCAACATCCAATGCACTTGTTATAAATTTTCATTTGAATGTTTCATGCTTACCTTTTATAGAGCTCATCCCAGTTACTTTGAACAAAATCCCAAGCTTTTTGACGAGCCACGCAGTTACCAGCAACTGACGTTATCACAGCTACAGTATCCTGACTGCGAAACTTTGTTCTGTCCAAACTCATTTTCAACAGTCTAGAAATGTAAACACGACAATCATAAAGCACTGTTCAAGGCAGCAAGCAGGTCAATCACAACATTGACAGTACGTGTTACTCCTCCCAGTAGACCGAGGCACTTGTGATTCCTTTATCGACTTCGTAGCGTTTGTTATGTTAACCCAAAGGTGCATTTCAGATGGTCCACGTGATGCTAATGCTGTACCACGTGGACAATTTTTATACCACGTGATTAAAACTTGACTGCATTTCGGTCACGTGGTTTAAAAAACTTGTCCGTGCATCACGTGAACGATTTGAAATGCACTAGAGGTTAACATAACTGACGCTACAAAGGTGATTAAAGACCATTGCCTGGATCTACTGCGAAGAGTAGTAATCATATGCGCTTTTCCAGTGGAAATAGGGATATAGCAACGTGACTAAGAAAAGTCCGAGCCATGAATTAACCGTAATCCAAAACGTCTCAACATGCATGACCTCTGCATATAAACCGTCCTTTTTTCACGAGGGTAGCACTTAATAGCCAGTGGCTAACAAACCTGTGGACCTCATTCCATGATAGAATTGGAATTTAGGAGTTGATTTTTGAGGAGGGAGGAAAACCGGAGAACCCGGAAAACCCTCGAAGCACAGGAGAGAACCAACGAACAACTCTACTCACATACAACACCGAACCCGGCGGGACTCGAACTCGGGTCGCATTGATGAGAGGCGAGCGCTCACACCGCTACGTCACCCGTGCTTCCCATTTTTTCCAGAGTGATGGAAAGTTAACAGTCTACTAAGGTTCAGTAGTTTTGAACATACCTGTCCAAGAGAGAGACTTTCTTGGTAGTTGTTAGGGCATACATAAGCTTTCTTTTCTCGGATGCAACAGTTGCACTCAAGTATTCCTTTAACATGTAATCAAACTCTTCTTCACCACCTTCCCGTACACCAATAGCGTAAACCACGTTACGAAGATTAGGAGAAATTCTGCCAAACACAAAAGAAAACAACAATCAATAACGAGTCCCAATTGGATTAGAATAGAGCCTCTATTAAGTGGACAGCAAGAGCGCATAAATAAGAGAGGAAAACGTCTTATATTGTGGCGCGCACCATGTATATTCCCAGTTAGGCTATTTTTAGTAATCGCATGCAGTTTAAATTTCGCCTTACCCTACTCCCGTGCGTCATCAACTTGCGCGCGCGCGGCCTTTCCGTTTATCGTTTTGATTGTTATGATGACTGAAAACAAAACGGAAAAAGCACGTTTCACTGCAAAGTTTGGATCACTTTTGACGTCATTTAATGTTCGATTACAGTTTTCATGTCGTAAGCACAAGCAGGTCTAGCCTCTAATCGATAATGGTTCTAAGCCAATCAGCGCGCGAGAAATTTCGAAGTTATGGTAAAAAATCTCAAGGAATCATTACATAACACTTACCGCTTGCCAGTTCGTCTCCACTCATCGAACATCTTTTTAGCTTCTTTTGTGGCCTTCTTGTGGCCGTATTCAGAACCAAGTCTTAAGACCGAGGCTCGAAGATACCTGACAATATGTATGTATGCTTTGAATAAATAACAAGTTGTTCGAAGGTAAAAGATCCTTCAAATTTGTTTGCCGCTCTGAGGTCATGCATAACGACATATGTCATATGTCGACATACACCTATTTTTTGCATTTTCGAGGTCTGAAATAGAACCAATTCTTGCGCATTACGTCATCGCGGCCATGTTGGTGCCATTTAACAAAAGATTTCTCATTAGCATCCATTGTTAACGGCACCACAATGACCGCCATGTTTTTGTCATTTGACTCTCTTGGGAATGCTTGAAAACCCATCAATTCGCCAGCGTAGTTCATCGTTCAAAAGTTAGCATAGTTACATATTAACTTGCTACGACATAAGAATAAAGACATGCCAATCAATTTCCTTTATGTTTAACTCACAGTCCATTTCGGTCGAAGATTTCAGAAGTCCGAGATACGTTTTTTTTTTTTTTGAAATAGGTGCATGACTAAGTGATGGGTCCTAAAGACCAATTTCATATCTCTTGAAAGTGTTATTGTTTAACGTCACATGGTGTCATCTAGAACTCACTTCGTAATCAATAGGAAACAACTTCTAACTAGAAATATGACCAATTTTCTAGTTTAAGGCATAGCGCTGCATTCTAACGAGCTTTATCGCGAGAGCCAAACTATTTAGGTGGGGGTATAGGTTATAGGGGGTGTAGTTATACTACAATAAGTCTGATGGAGCTATCAACGCGCATTTCCAACTGGTAATCAACTGACTTACTTCTGCAAATGACTGCCTTTGTCTTCCCAACCCAGTTCCTCAACGATGGGCGTCAGCTGTTGCAGTACATATTTCTACAAACACACCAAATGCTTATCATCAAACCTAAAACCTTGATCTAAATATATAGAGGTTTTTTACCGGCCAGGCTATGAGGTCCGAATAGGGAAAACTGCGCCCTATGTTTTGAATACACTTGAGGGCACGGTTTTCCCTATCCGGACCTCTTAGTCTGGCCGGTAAAAAACTTATTGATTTTCCCCCACTTACTTTTCCATTTGCAATTTGTTTTGTTGTTTAACAATCCGTTCTCCTATGCGCGCGTAATTTTATCGTTTTCCTGTGCGATATCCTAAAAAAGCGTGTGTTCTGATTGGCTGCATGAGCAGACAGTCTTGTCTATCCCTAACCACGGTCCGGTATCCTGGGATAACGGAAGGATTGCCAAACAACAACAACAACAACAAAGCAAAAAATTCGGATAAATCGTCGATAAATGGTGAGTGGAAACAAAAGTTATTTAGTTAGCCAGTCTGAAAAACTGGGCCATTGGCTTTGAAAACAAGAGGCCTTCAACACCTCAGGCAGTTTTTTTCCCCTAGCCGGACGTCCTGGCCGGTAAACAACATACAATTCTTCATCTAATCACCTTATAATAAGCATAATCTCCTTTAGATGCACAGAGCATAGAGTCGATGTATCCCAAATTATTCAACGCAGATGACCAAGGGACGTACTCCTTCTCGTTGACTAGATACAACGTCAGGTCCAATGCGGTTGTTAGCTTCAGCTGTCCAGCCCTTCAATCAACACAAAATGGACGTCAACAGAAAGATGATAACCTATTTACTCATGCTATTTGTCACCATTTACATTTCGACTAACGATCTGTGCTTTTCATTGGGTATTGAATGGATATGTTAGTATAAGAGAGAGCTGAGAGGTAGAGAACTGAGGGAAAAAGAGGAGAAAGAGAGAAGTAAGAGAAAGAGAGAGTCGTATCAGCCGTCACACACACAATCAGCACCAATACAAACTTTTCGTCACGAACATCTTCACACGCCATCAAAGTCTTCTTCTTACGCACTCGTCGCGTTAACAAACCAACCCAGTGCCAACTAGTAACAGCTACAGTCATTATCACTCGACTACATTACCATAGGACTGGTACTTTATATCTATGCGACAAGAGTGAAAAACGTCTGCGCATGGCTCTAAATCCATATGAAAATGGAAAAATATGTCAATTTGACTTCACAAAATGCCAAAACTTAATTAGAGTCAGTGCTCAAAAGTTAAGGCTAATTCTTTGATATTGTTTTTATTAATAAAGTATCTTGAAATGTTTTGTATACTCGGAGAAAACCAACATTTTTTTCCTCACTAAAACTCTTAGAGAACGTGTTGAAAGGCACACATGCGCAAACGCTTTTCTTTAGTGTCATGCATGGTGTTTGTTTATACCTGGCCAGGTTGAAGGCATCGTCTATCAAACCCGCTTTGTCTGCTCCACCGAATACCTAAAGAAAGCAGAAACCTCGCAATGAAATAAAATGAAAGCAAGTACAGGGTAACGCGGTTCTTGTTGCGTTGGCTTGAGATTGTATCTATGCTTGCGCCGGCTTCTGCCGCTATCGAGAACCAGAACCAGACGAGAATCCTTGTCAACTACAATGCACTGCACGCCCCTGTGTTATTGTTAACATTGTTCACGTACATCGTTCTCGAAGCTCTTCCACACACCGATGGAGCAACAGTTCTGCAAATTCACTATACCAAAGTCCTTAGATTCACAAAGTTTCCTTCCTTTCACTTCCACAGCAAGCAGGTTGAATTTTTATTAAAGAGAGAGTTTCTTCGTAAAATTATGATTTTACTGTCATATCCGGACTGTTAGATATCATAACGTTCGAAATCTACCACAGATTCTTTACCAAAATTTCTCAAATCTCACAGAAAGCGTCTATAATTACATCATGATGGTCATCAGTAACACATCAAGCAGGAATAACAAGAACGATAGAACTGGATTTCCAAACTTTACCCTACGAAACCGCCATTTTGCCTGGCAGAGAAAAAGGCGCTTTGCATAGCATTTCATTGTTTTCGGCGCGCAGTGCATTGTAGTTGACTAGGATTCTCTAAAGTTCTTATATGTGCTTTTACGAAAACATAATTTTATGTAAGTCGAACGTTATTTCTCTAGTGTTTCCAGTCATCCCGGTTAAGGACGTTAAACTTCCGCAACAAAACTAGTTCAGACTCATACTCACTTCCCCTTCCCATACCACCGGTCCCTGACTTTATTCCATCATTTTACTATGACAGCAGAGCTTGTTGATAAGGGAAACACAATGGCGAAGAACAATAGAATTCAAACTAATTTTACTCTGCAGCTGACTTAAATAATAGCTTTCATATGTCTGGTTTACAAACATGTTATAAACTTATCTTTATCCTACAATATATATAGTATTTGCTGGCATTGCCTAAAGAAGAAGATTCTTTTTGAGCTGCATCCATATTCATGTGTCTTCTCATGTACAACCGTTAAATAAAGAAATGATACTGTAGGGAATGACATGTGGTTTGAAATGGGTAAACAATAATTCCCAAGGCAAAGAGGACTATTGGATATTGGACACCTACCTTGTGGTCGGTATTCAGTTGGTTCTTCAGCTTCTCCCAGTTTTCCTTCTCGTAATTCACTCGGTAAAATCCCTGTTGTCCATAATTTACTTTCAGCCAACCACTGTCCTCAGGCCAATCGAAAGAAACTGTAACACAATCGGAAAGCGGTCGGAAAAATTTCGGCAAGACCACAGTCACAGTCATTCGCATATAGCATGGGGAAACCTTTATAACTTCAAGGAGCCGCGCTCAGACTATATAATATTTTTTGGCGTAATTCAACAGCTGACCCCACGTCTCTTTAAACAATTTACAGTCCTCTTAATGTTTAAACAATCCAATCCCAAACTAGAAGGGGGTGACCCTACCCGCAAGGTGCGAGGTTAATGACCCATAATAAGAACTATAAACCATCTATCAATAACACWGAGTCCGTGTAGGTCCAGTTCAGATCTAGACGTCGAACTTTTGCCGCGTCTTATCTAATAGTAGCATTTCGTACATGACAAGTGTTACATCTGAACCAAATGACAATAAACTAAATTAGACTGAATCAGCCGCACGATAAGACAAMACATCGGCGTTGAATCAAACGTCAGACTTTCTTGGCGCATGAGTTATTTTAATAAAAGGCTCAATATTACAGCAGATTTGAATTTTAAAAAACATGCTAGAGCTATAGCTGTCTTTTGTTAACGTGCTACCGTTGAGTTCACTGCGAGCGGCAAAATTAAACGCGACGTTTGAATCAGACTTAGAATTTGATGGATGTCAGTCGAACTCTAAAAGACAATACACCAGTTTCGCATTCGATGCATAAAGCTGTTTTTGAAGAGTAGTTTAGTATAAGTCAGCTATTGCTGGTTTTCAATCATTCCCGAGAGAGTGAAACAACAAAAGACACGGCTGCCATGTTGGATGATATAACAAAAGAGACTAATGACGAATCTTTGGATAAATTTATCCAACATGGCGGCTGTGAAAACCATCAATTCACAGATACTATTATCAGTGGGGTTCAAAACATTGGTATTGTTCAAGCGTCACATTCTTTACATTACAGTTGACTTTTGCAATAGATTTGCTCTTAAGCGAGGTTAAGTTGTGCAGATGATTCTTTCGTTATAAAACAAATCAGTATGAGGAAAGGGACTATAGAGGCTTTGCAGCATCACGTGATGGCAGCCATAACAGGAGGCACAACAACAGAGTTGTTCTCCCCTGGGAAACTGAATTCTTTCTCACGTAAATCAGATTAGACCAGATTCAATTGTTCCTGCCTCCTGTCATGGCTGCCATCATGTGATGGTGCAAAGCCTCTATTAGATTCGACGCGACAAAAGCTCGACTTCTGAACTGGACCTAAGTCGTCAATAGATCTTCGATGGTTTAACCCGGCTTACCTTCATTATTGTCTTTATTCATCCACACTTGTTTTCTATCTTCGTTCTTTTGTGTTCGGTAGGTTAAAGGAATGAGCCACTTGTAGCTGAAAGATGAAGTTAGCTCAATTTAAAAAGATGAACATCGCCATGAACAAATAATACAAGGGAAACTGAAGGTCGAGGATAAGCCACGTTTATTGGTCTTTCCGAGGTTGCGCAAAATACTGTTACCAAGTAGGACGAGCGTTGAATCATGGAGCAGTTTCAGGGTCGCCATTTGTTTTTAATATTGCGAATAGCATACGAAGCTTTTGAAAAAAAGACCGAAATCTAAAGTAAATGTGACTCGATTCAAAACCTAAGACCTTTAATACGAATACAACATATTGTGTCACAGCGCTGTGATTCAACGCATGTCCTACTCGTTATCAGATTTTGGGGAACCCCAGAAAGGCTATTCAGTAAACTCATCCTAAGTTTTTGAATGCGGGCTACAACGAGCCAACACATGGCTTAGAAATATCTGATACGCAAGGTCCATAGAGGAGGCTGGGGCGATCTATGATTTGAGTCCAAATTCCATTTAACTGATGCCTGTTTATGTTTCTTTGCTTGTGTGTGTGGCCAAGCACGGGTCGCTACTTACCCGAATTTTGACTTTCGAGTTACTTTGGCTTTAGGATGAACTAAGAAGTGTTTCTGTGAAGCGGCAGCCTTGCCATTATGTCGTTTGATCGTCACGACAGGGAACCCCATCTGTAGGGTCCATGTATCCATCACCTCTTTGACGTCACGGGCGTCTGCGTTGACATCCTTGGCAGCCTGAAACACAATACCGAGAATGTTTCAGAAACAAGCTGCAAATATATATATTTAGTAAAAATAAACAGGTGAATATTGAAACCCTCGCGCGCTGATTGGTCGAGAAACTCGCACAATCACACGATAATCACCTCCAGCGATAATCCAAAATGGCGGCCAGCCGCTTCGTTGCTGTTACCGGGAAAAAATGTCTTTTATCTTCTTTTTTTTTTTCTTTCTTTTTTTGAAAGAATCACCTATGTATTAATACTAAAACGATTATTTGCCAAAATGAAGCTCACAAATGCTCGTGCGGGTGTGTTAAAACACGTTCGCAACAATGACAATTCTTGTCTGTTATGTGTTCAAGCAGGCAATCTAATCAATGTTTTAATTGTAGACTGTATGCTGTATTCTTTAAAAATACACTAATCACTAACCAGTTAAACTTGTTACAATTGAACTTTACAAAATGCCAAACTTAAAGTCGCTTTTTTTGATACTGCTGATCTATTATGTGTATGTATAGCAGCCTGTCATACTCAGGATACTTAGAAAACCAAGCACACTCTCCTCGCTAAAGCGCACTCGATTCTTTGGAAAACAATGGTGTGATGCGCGCATGAGTAACGCTTTATTTGGTTGTCGTAAACAAAGAACATTAATCACCCACGCAATACATACCTTTGATAGCATACTCCATAAATCTTTAGTCTCCGCATTGCTGAACTCATGAGCTTGGAGGTAATTTTGAAGTCCGTGTTGAAACGCTGTATCACCAATGAAATTCTTCAACATTCTTATTATGGCTGCCCCCTAAGAAATAAAGAAAGTTCATAGCCATCATTTCAGCCATCCATCCATCCATCCATCTATCTATCCATCCATCCAACCATCCCTTCTCCCTCCCCCCCACCTTCTCTTCCTCCCTCCCTTCTTCTCTCCCNNNTTCTCTCCCTCCCTCCCTCCTTCTCTCCCTCCCTCCCTCCCATCCTCCACCCACCAACCTACCCATCTACCTATCCTTACCTTATCATATGATATTGAGTCAAACAGGCTGTTGATCTGGTTAGGGTTGTCTACACGTACACTGATTGGATGAGAGTTACTCATCTGATCCAGGTTCATGGACAGTTGTGTTTTGTCCAGTAAGAACTGGTCCATCATTTTCCACTCAGGGTTGGTGTAATTAGCTCCAATGTTCTCTATAAAGCTTGCAAACCCTTCATTCAGCCACAGGTCGTTCCACCACTTCATCGTGACAAGGTTACCGAACCACTAATAGAACAACGTTTAAAGTTAGACAATGATTAACCCAGTTCCTAGTGCTGTTTTACTCTTCTTGTTATAGGACAGGCAAAAGAGTAGACAGACAGACAGACAGACAGACAGACAGAAGGACAGACAAACAGACAGACAAGCAAACAACCAAGCTTGAAAAAAAGTTACACATGAAGCAAAGAAAAAACATGAATAGAATTAAAAAAAGAAAGGAATATTACTGTAAAGAATGACACATGTTCACAGACTATTGAGAATGTAAAAGAAAACTAAAACTCTAAAATATATCCGGCGCAAATGCACTAAATCGTTTAATTGAAGCCGGAAAGTCAAATCAAAGCTACTACTTTTTCGAAGGAAATACTTAAGTAAAATACAACTATGTGTGAAACAAACTATTTCAGGACATGGACTTCATTACCAAAGGATGGCTAGACTGGTTTAATATATTTATGTTAAAATTTAACTTTAGGTTCATTTATTTTTTATTTAGCTGAGTTTAAGATCGACTTTGGAAAAAATATCGTATTGTGCATGCTTAGAAAATCGGGAGAAAAAAGGCGGCTCTTAATAGACAAGAATATTATATACACATTCGTAATATCAAARGCTTCGTGAGAAAATTCTTCATGATTTCTTATAATAAGCCTGAAGCGAGATGACGTTTTACCCCCGTCTCTGGACCATAATCCTTTTCACACTGCTTTTGTTCTTTAATTATGACTATTGTTCCTGTATTCTCTAAGGAATCAAAAAATCTTAATATGAAAGAATTTTATAAAAACTATTATGATATAGAGTCGGGGGTAAAACGTCATCTCGCTTCAGGCTAATTGTCGTTTGAAATTTTCCGGCCATGCGCAGTATGCCTTTTCCAAAGTCGCTGATACTACTTCGGTAGGATTTATAACATGGTATAACGTTTTATATTATTTAAAGTTTAGACCAACCTGATGCGCGAGTTCATGCGCGACCACTGTAGCTACCCATTGCTTATTGCTATCAGATGACGTCATCGGGTCATACAACATTGACGTCAAACGATACGTCACTAAGCCCCAATTCTCCATCGCACCAGTTGGAAAGTCAGGGATTGCTATCAAGTCTGATGGGAGATATGTTCAAGGTTATAGTCCATGGTTCTTCCCAAAGAACCGTTTAATTTAGTTTTTTAAAGAATTTTTAAGGTGACTGCCTACTTTTGAACATTCGATTTGAGCCTACGATGTGCGCGCGCTCAAAACCGCTGAAAAATCTACAAGATTTTATTGAAGAACCATACACGCTTCAACGGTGCAAAACCCTCGAATTTTGCACGGGACTCTCTATTTTTTAATAGCTTATTTGAATAAACTCCTAAAAATCTAGGTTATCAGCATTTTAGAAAAAGTTAAATATTCTAACACATGAAAAAATATATTTTTGTAGGGAATTTTGTTCGACTTTATGAGATTTTTTAAGAGCACCGAAACCACAAAATATGACAAATCAATGATTATGATTATCTCGAAAACGAGCTCGGGACAMCCWATTTTTCTTTCCAGATTTGGAATCAGCATTATATTTCAATTCGGAAAATCGAAGTTTCATAAAAAGTTTAATATTTTTTCCAGAAGTAGGCAGTCACCTTAAGCCAACCAAAATAGTAGCCACACACAGCTCAATGCCACAAACAATAACCAGCAAATCAACCAATTTCAGCAGCATCGATTTCCTCTTTTAATTTTTTTACTGACTCATTCATCCCCGCGTTTAATCATGAAGTTGCAAGATCAGTACGATATCATATAAAAACAAAAACGACAAATCACAAATCACAAATTGGAATTAGAAAATAAATAAAWAAATAATTATTCTTAATTCTAAAGCCCTCCAGATTTATAAAATATCTGTTTTAGTATATACCAACAAGATAATATCAAAAATGTCAGTCTATACCTTCAAAATAGGGAAACAGTTACAACTGTTCTGCGGGACAATAATTAATTACAATTAGATTTTGTTTTTTGTTTTTTTATTTTTATATGACAACGTCCTTGCAACTCATTCCTTTCTCTTTTTATTTCCTCTCAAATCTATTCCCATTTTCATTCTTTTCTCTTTTCTCCTTCTAAAGCAAAACTTTTTCTTTTTATTCAAAACAACAGCAACATGACAACCAACGACGACAACAATAACAACAACAACGTTCAACAGGCCATCAAGGGTAGCTTGAGTCAATGGGTTTAAAAATGTTAAAATGAAAGTTTATTGTTTTTAAAACTGTTTGAAAGATTTTTAATGAGAAATTATGAGTTTCAATCATGTTTGTCTTGACGAAAAAAACTTTATTTATTTCTTTTTTCTTGAGTTCAATTCATCGAGACATCGAACTTCACAATGAGTGACACCAAGCATCGTTGATTTGGATCAAAATTACGCTCATTTACAAAATCACTTTGTCTGTCCTTGTGTCTCGATTGCCATTGATTGAGAACGGCTCTGAGTCACATTATTTTTATCGTTTTATATGTTTTACTACTTTATGTTTTACATAAATATTTTATCAAAGATCTTTTAAAGTCTTAAAGTACTGACTTTTCTAGTTTATCTGTTAACGTGTTTTATTATATAAACTATAGTTGTTTACAAAGATTTCTACAACTGAGAAATTTCGTATTTCAACACATGTAAAAATACCATAATTTTCACATGTAAAATTATAACCAATCAKTTTTCAGTATTCTGTGACGTCATTGTTCTCACAGGCGCGGGAAAATCACAACGGTCGGCAGCTTTGTCTCGTATGTGGTTGCAAAGATTGCTCACTCGATCGATAATTTTGTTAAAATTATAGAAAATTGAGTTCAAAAACATGGCTGAAAGGTTTGTCACATTTGATTTACAAGACGTCATAGATTTTATCGAGGAGGAAAATGCAAACACTAAAAAAAGACAAAGAACGACCTGTCGCTCATTCAGTTATTTCTCACAACTGAGAAGGAGACTCGACCGTTTGAAGAGATTTTTCCTCAAGAACTCGACTCGTATTTGTCCAGATTTTTGCTATCAGTCAGAAAGAAAAACGGTGAGGAATATGATCCAACAACCCTACGAGGGTGAAAAGTCTAGAGTTGAACTTGATTTGGGTTTGTTTATTAGAGACTATACTTATAAATTCTCGCTTTTATGTCGAATTAAACTTTGTATTTGGGATGTTTTCTACAATAAAATTCAATTGTTTTGAAAAAAAAATACAGTGCTATGGTTTATATAATAAACAGAAAAATACATGGCCGCTTGGAGATATGGAAGTTATCTTCTCGTCTTCAAATTTGATATTTCACTCGTTCGCTGCGCTCACTCGTGAGATATCAAATTGAACACTCGAAGATAACTTCCACATATCTCCGCGCGTCCATGTATTATTCTCTATTTCTTTTATTTGAGTTTAAGTTTTTAAAATCCTTTTTTTTCTGATAGGCTTCCTGCTTTTAAGAACTTTATGACGATACAGAATGGTCAAAAAAGTAGTTTATCAATTAAAGTTCAAAACGACGGGGGGTTATTGAAGCAGCATGCATTTTGCTTCAATTATTACTATTCTTCAAACATCGATCGAGAAAAAACAAAAAAGAAAAGTAAGAGAGAAAGAAAGACAGAAAGAAAAACATCACTTAATACAAGAAATGAAACAAGAAAAATACATTTAGAAGAAAGAAAAAATAATTTCCAATTTCAAGCCGCGTTCACTCAATATTATTGTCCATCACCTTACACTGATCGCGACAGTGCATGCATTATATTTATTCTTCTTATTATCATTATTTTCACCGTCGCTTATTACTAATATAGAACGAAGTGCTCACGCAATCTATTCGGTCCATGCAAACTATGGATAACAATAGCTAAATTAATGCAATGTTGACACTGAGCAATTGATGAAACTTTGGTAACCCTACCTTCATTAAACCCATACCAAATGAAAATATTGGGTAATAATTTCCAAGTAACAAAAATGAAAAAATAAAATAAAAATTCAAACAAAAGTGAAAAATAGGAATTGAAAAAATGAACGTGAAAGATGTGCACCCATGACATCAAACCAACCTGATGTGCCAGTTCGTGTGCAACTACAGTTGCCACCCATTGCTTGTTGCTGTCAGACGATTCCTTCTCATCATACAACAATGACGTTGAACGGTACGTGATCAAGCCCCAGTTCTCCATTGCACCAGCAGCGAAATCAGGTATTGCAATCAAATCTATCACACGTATAAGCATTAGCTATTCCGAGGTTGACGACAAGACTGGGTCGAGTTGGTATTGCAGTGTATTGTGGGATTGCTTAAGGGGACATGTTTTCAATATGGCTTATACTTCATACACCGGTCACACAATGAACCTCGCTCAATGCCAAGTACTCGACACAGTTTCTTCGTCAACCTCAGAATGACCAATATAATGGAATGTTGTTTCAAATTATTATTCCTCTCTCGCCTGTTAACTCGTTATTCAAGTTATTCATTTTAACTGTAATAACAAAGGAGTCTATTGGACTCTTCAAATGAGTCTTATTTGGCCATTAAAGACAACTTCAAACAGCCATTTTGAATCTTCATGTTCTCGTCCGTTTGTGAAGAGTCGTTTTGATCTCTTAAAGGAGTAGCACTGTATGACGCTCGTTCAGTGATCCCATAAAGAATGTCTTCACTGATAGAAGTATTCATAGATACTCTTGAATAGTCAAACTAACAGCACTTCCGAACAAGGTGTTTATTTGACTTAATTATTGTTGGGGTAAACAGGACTCCATAATCACCGGAAGCGTGCGCTGCTAATGCGCCGCCTCTCACCAATTTGGCCAGAGTTCGAGTCCTGCCGATCTCGATGTTGTATGTGAGTAGAGTTGTTTGTTGGTTCTCTCCTGTTCTTCGAGGGTTTTTCTCCGGGTTCTYCGGTTTTCCTCCATCCTCGAAAATCAACTTCTAAGTTCTAGTTCGATCTTTGGGCTTTCACCTAGTTTGGAGCCTAGCTCTGTTGTGATTGTCCCACGCTGTGATACAACAGCGAAAAGCTTCGTAGATTTAGATAAATAAATTTTGTGTAAGAGTCGCAGGGGATCCTTGCAAGATGTCAAATAGGTCTCCTTTGTTTTTACAATGTTCTTCTTTCTTTTCTCTTCTCTTCTAAAGGGTGCCTCATCCCCCCCAGACCTTCTCTCTCTCCCTCACTCAACTTCCTCTGATCTGTCACTCAGTCGCAACCCAGAAGGTTTAGTGTTAATCTTTCCAATTCACCTTTTACATATCATCGTGAGATCGTATAAAAGATACCACCCTCTACAAGGTCGTTACCATGCCAGGTCAGCTGTGTTTGTGCATTAGGAAAAATTCGTATAACTATGAAAAGAAAACGGTAGTGCACGGATATCGCGTTTTCCAAACATTCTAGAGGCTGGTTTTCACTAGCGACGTAAGCGACGGAAGCATAAGCATCAGCAAGAGCATAAGCATAAGAGCGTTATGTTCTAGTGTAAATGGATGTGACGGAAGCATAAGAAAAACAATAGGAAGCGATTGTTTATGCAAGAATCCAATATGTGCAGGGGACTGAGCACGAGAATTTGATTGGCTCACCACCTTGTGCTTCGGCATGTTAGCGACGGAAGCATAAGAATCTGGTTTTCACTAGCGACGTAAGGACAGAAGCAGAAGCAGAAGCAGAAGAAAAAGGAAACCTTTCGTTCCTTCTGCTTATACTTCCATCGATGTTCTTCTTATGTCTCCGTTGTTTGATTTTCATAACATAAGAGGTCTTACGCTTCTGCTTCCGTCGCTAGTGAAAACCAGGCTTAACTAGATAAGGAGTGACGAATTTCTCAAGCTGTAATGACCTCATCAACCAAAAGAAATCAGCATGAAATAAAAAGATCACAACTGCTTTATTCTAGCGTAGAATGTCATAGCAAAACAATGAAATATTTTTTTATTAACAAAAATCACTAGATTCTAGTAATTTGGCCACCCAAACCAAACAAATGGCTCAATGAAATTCATTTTTAACCCGGTCCAGTATTCTAAAAGTCATGCGATTTGATTGGCTGCGCGAGCGGGCGGTATTGCCAGCGGTCTTGTATCCTGACGTAAGGCCTACGTCATCCACGCGCGCGCATGGTGACACGGATTGTTAAACAACATAACAAATCCCAAAACAAGTTGAAAAGTAAACGAAAAAAATCTAAAACCCTAAAAGCGGTCAGGATAGGGAACTACTGTGCCATCGGGATTAAAGGCGGTCCGAGGTCGTTCAAGACCCCGGCACAGTTTTGTACTGCCCCGCTCTCGTGGCCCGTAAATTAACCTCTATAACCTCTATGCTAAAGGAATTTCGCCGACAGCGTAGCGATTTCGTCCGTGAATTTTCATAGTTATACGAATTCTACCCTAACCAGCTTTAAGCAATCATTATAAATACATTATATAATATATACTGACCTTGCTTTGGGAGAGGGAACTTGACTTGGAAGAAGTCCTCATAGTAGTACAGGATTTTCTTGGCCTCTGATAAGGCAAACCTTGCTTGCTCGATATCATCTGGTGGCGCCCAAACACGAACCTACACAAGAAGAGTGGGTGGACGTAAGTGATACGCACAGGGACTTTCCTAGGTGGAGTGTATTGAATGCGCTGTAAATGCGTTGTCTCTCAGTACCACTGTGCAATGCAAACTTATGGTCGCTGGTACAAAATAGCCGGACGATTATTGCTGCAAATGGAGGTGCAATTTTTGCAGCGATTTTAGTCATAGTCAATAATCCTAAAGGATTAGTGTTCGTTTTGGTTTCTTGAGTTTTCTGACGTTTCGGCGTTTGCAACTAAAGGCAGATTAAGATTACCGTTTTTCCTTCCCGCAAACGGCAAACATGACCACGTTTTCATCGTTTCCCTACGTTTCACTTTATCTTTTGCAAACATTCTCGACAAAGACAAGCATTCTTTTGTTTATCTACTACTTGGAGATTTTTTTGATTCCTTTTCACTAATTTTAAAGAATTTTTTAGCGGTTAACTGACGTTTCACGTTTGCCGTAAACGATAATCTTAAAATCTCTTTTCGTGCACCAAACGCCAACTGAGCGGCTATGTTTGCTCCTGTAAATTTGAGTTTTGCCAGTATGGAAGACGGTGAATAAGAATATCGTTGTACCTACCAGGGTGCCTGATTTAGTCCTGTCAGAGAGATGCTTGAAATCACAAACCACAAACGCAATCAGATATGTACTCATTTTAACAGTCTCTTTAAAGTAATCTTTCAGAAGACCATCCTTTCGTTTAACCTGTGGGAATAAATAAGAGCCGCATTCTAAAGGTTGTTACATATTTACAGCAGAATAAACGACCAATCGAGTTTGTTTTACTTGATCCGACACTATCATCGTAAATATGGTTAAGATTAGTCCTACTTGGCCACGAAACTAAGTTATTAGTGAGCAATAGTCAAAGTAAAACAAAAGGAAAAATAACCTATTTGCTATGCCCAATTTTAACACTCGATTGCTTTCAATTCAATTCTGTGGAGCTGCGCCACTGCTGTAGCGATAACATTGTTGCCAGTGACCTGCCTGCCACTATAGAATACCAAATAATGTTGTGGCCTTCAGAATAGAGAAAAAATACGTACAAAACGAAATCCCATGGCATTTCATTCAATTCCATAGCCTTAGAATTAACTTAGGACTACAGCAACTACAGCAGCATATCTTGTTTTAAAAATTAATGATAACCAATGGCAACATTCAAAATTTCATGATTTTTTCCAGGTCTGGAAGAAAAAATACTTCAAACTCCATGATCGAGTAAATTATGTATAATTGCGAACTATTCATGAGATAATATATAGATACGAATTATTATTGTCTAATAACATTCAAAATTCCATGATATTTCCAGGTCTGGAAGAAAAATATGTATTATAGTACACTCAACAAAATTACTCGACTCTGATTGGTCGAGGGGAGTACAATTATAGCGTTAATTGTACTCCGTAGGAGTACCGAATTAAGTCGCTATGGCAACACGGCCAAAACAAT